AAAAAGAACCTGGGATAAAATTAGAATACACAGAATTAGATAAAATTCTATTAGGAACTGAAGATAAAGCAATAAAAAAGATATATAAATATCTACTAGAACAAGACATGCTAGAAGAACAGGTAAAAGATACAGTGCTAATTTGGAGCAAAAACTTTGGCTACAGTATCAAGTTAGATAATTGGCAACTATTATGGGACAGGAATAGGAGGTTAACATTAGCAACCACCTATAAAGAAAATTTATATAAGACGTTTTATAGGTGGCATCTTCCTCCTATAAGATTAGCAAAAATGGACAAAAAATCCTCACCGTTATGTTGGAAATGTAGAAAATCACCAGGGACTTACTATCACATGTGGTGGAAATGCCCAAAAGCTCAAGAATCTTGGCATTTGATAAAAAATTGGTTGGAAGAGATATTATCATTAAAAACTGAATTAAAATCAGAAACTTTTTTTATTAGGGATCACTAAGGATAAATTCAGCAAAGGATCTTTATATTTACTACTGCACATTCTAACTAGACCAGTGGTTCTTAACCTGTGGGTCGGGATCCCATTTGGGGTCGAACAACCATTTCACGGGGGTCGCCAAACAATGCAGTCCGCCATTTTTTCCCCTTTTTCTTAGCTGTGCTACTCCCTTTTATTCTATTGGCTTTTGAAAGCCAATAGAATAGACTCTCTTGAATAGAGTCTAATTCTATTGGCTTTCAAAAGCCAATAGGAATTGTCCAGGCTGTCTCTGCCCTGCTGAGCCCGCCAAAAGTCCCATTCTGCAAACGGTGCTGCACCAGTTGAGTAGTCCTCGACTTACGACCGGTTGAGTAGTCCTCGACTTATGACCGGTGGGGGTCACAGCATTAAAAAGGTTGAGAACCACTGAACTAGACTATCCTATGCTCAGAAATGGAAAGGAAAAGAAACCCCCTCCGAAGAAGAAGTACTAAACATAATCCTATCCTGCACTGAAATGGATAGGTTAACATTAGAGCTCAAAAATAAAACTGAATCAGACTATTTTAAAATTTGGAATGAAGTGCATAAATAGTTAGATTTAAATGAATGTTAATGAATAAGTTGATAATTTAGAAATTTTTATACTAGTACTTTTTATATCAGATAGAATTAAAAGTTATTTAACTATAATGCACATTATTGAAAGAATGCTCACTTTGTTACAATGTAATAATATAATGTAAGGCAATATTAATAGTATCATTCAAACCAGGGAAGTTGTATCATGTCCAATGTGTCTTTTTTGTCTTTAACTGTATATTTAATGAAACTTTGTAAAAAAAAAAAAAAAAAGGAAGGAATAGGTTATGGTTTTGGGAAAAGTGATAGAGATAGAATTTAGCTCAACAATAGCTAAATTCAATAAAGAAAATTCCTGGCCATATGAAAATTATAGCTGAGGGTTTCTAGAGTAATAAAAACAACATTCCCAACTATAGCCATCAGATAAATAATAGCAAATATAACGAAGTATAACATTTGTTATTTCCATTCCTTGGAAAATAAATAAAGCCATAATTCAGTAACTGTGCTTTGCATTTCTTGAATATTCTCTGCAGGAGAAAATAAAAACACTATTTATAGAGTATGAAATGCCTCCTTTCTGCCATATAATTTAAATAATATTGTAATGGGTAGGATCCCAACTATGTTGAGACTGAATGCTGAAGTACTGTGGATCTGGCACCCTCAATAATTGTCTGTTGTATGCTTGGATGAAGCTAGGGAAACCAGGAGGCTGAGGTTAGGGGGTAATGCAGTGTTGGGGAGGTAGTGCATGGGAAGTTGTCATATTCAAGTGGTATGGGTAGGGAACATTTTGATATGAGTGAGAGAATGAGCTACTCTCAGGAAGACACCCCCTTGGTGTTTATTCGAGCTCTTTGTACTCAGATTCAGATCTTGTTCAGCAGAACAACATGGCCTGGAGATTTTTATTGCTGTTGCATAGTAGAAGGTCATTTAATAATAAGGCTTCTCAATAATAAGGAGGCCAACTGGCATGTATCACCAAGACTTGGGGAGGAGGGGTTGTTTCTGAAATATGTCCAGACAGGTTTAGGGTTTGGTACTAACCAAGACCCCAGGACAGGGATATAGGGGTAGAAGTTGTCATCCAGGAATCTTTGGTAGTTATTAGAGGCATTACTTCACAAATTGCCAGTTGTGAAACCCCATTTAGGGGAGCAGTTGGGATTGTTGCTATTGCATCAGCCTCCCTGCAGTTGTTCAAGGCCATCTCAGGTTTGTGGAGTTTCTCTCCCATGGTCCAATCACATCCTGGTGACTTTAAGCTTCCCTAATGCTATCCAGCTCCTCAAGTAGACTGAAACCATTCAGTTGGTTCATTCCAGGTAACTGGATTTCAAAGGGAGCTGAGAGGAATACCTGATGATGTGCTGCACAGGCCTGTGGAAGCCCTGGAAGCTGCCTGGAACAGGGAAGCAGCCAGAGTTTTGGACAGTATGATGCCTGTGAGGCCTGTCTTGGCTGATTGCTCCCATTACTGTGGTTCACAGTGGAGCTAAAGAAGATGAAAAGGATTAAGATATACTTAGAGCACTGCTAAAGGAAAGCAAGGGATGAATTTGATCAACCATGAGCTAGAACTGCTATTAAGGCCTACCTCTGGGTGGTGAAAGCAGTGAAGGATCAATATTTCTCACATCCACAGAATGTCATCTAACAGGGCTGTTTAGGGTTAATGGGGCCACATTTTCAGGGCCACACAAAGGAATTTTCTGTGCCTCCAGAAGATATAATCACCTGAATCTGTTCCTAGTTGGATGCCGAGCATGGTGCAAGTTTTGTGGAAATGGCTGGGAACACTTGAAAACAGTTTGATTCTGTTAGATTTGAGGAAGTGGACAGAATCCTCCAGAATGTAATTGTAACAAATTGTAGTTAGATCTATGTCCCTCTTGGCTGCTCAAGGCCACCCAGGAAGTATCATGTGGGTTGGTCCTTGATGAAGGGAGTTTTCTGAGATCTTTTTAAAGAGGCACTGATGTTCCCTCTCAAGGAGCCATCACTGAATTCCACCATTCTAGACATTTTTAATCAAATCTTTCACTTTTTCTTTTTAGGTTTGGTGTTGAGGGCGTATCATTGCAATTCCAGATGGATGATATGGATTATTTGGCTCTTTTTCAGTCATATTTCTGGCCAAGATACAGGACAGAAACATCTTTGCTTGCACTTTTAGATGATTGGCAGGAGCGGGATGGAGGGAATACATTCCTCCTTGCTCTTCTTGACCTTTCAGCACCTTTCAGTACCATCAACCATGGTGTTCTTTTGGACTGACCTAGGGAGTTGTGGTTTGGTGGTGTAGTTTTGTGTTAGTTCATCTCCTTTCTTCAAAGTCAATCTCAATTGGTGTTGATAAGGAAAGAGGGCTCCAGTTCATAGCCTCTGCTTTGTGGGAAGCTGCAGGGTTTGGTGCTGTCCTCTTCTTCCTTCATCTACATGAAACTGCTGGGTAAGATAATCTATCACCATGAATTGAGATATTACCAGTATGCTGATGATACCCATCTATATATCTCCATTCTGGATTGAGTGATGCTGTGAACTTTCTTTTGCAGAGATTCTGGGGGCCTGGATGGAAAACAAGAGACTACATCTGTGACTATGAATGGGGGGGTTTCTTATCTTGGAGTTTATTATCATTGGTCCTGGATGGGTTGCACTACCCCAAACAGACCCAATGTGTAATCTGGGATTCCTCCTAAATTCATGGCTCCCAGTCAAAGAGGCTAGGAGGGCCTTTGCATAACTTCATGTTGTGTGTCACTTACCTTTCCTCAATCATTCACACCCTGGTGATCTCCTTCTGTACTATTGCAATGGACTCTACATGGGGCTACTCTTGAAAAGTATCTACAAGCTCCAGCCGGTAGAGAATAAGGTCACACATGCAATCTGGATTGCCCCAAAGATGGTCCGTATAACACCTCAGCTGCAGAAGCTGCACTGGATGCTGGTTTGCTTTTGGGTCCAATTGAATGTGTTGGTTATGACCTTTAAAGCCCTACATAGCATAGGGTTAGGATACCTGCAGAACCATGTTCACTCCATTACATCAGCCTGTCCCTCCTAGTGAAGCAGGGAGGGTATGTTGCAGATTCTGTCAGTTCAAGAATTTTGACTGGTGGAGTCAGGAAAAGAATACCTTGAAGGTGTTGGCCCACCCTTTGAAACAGGTGAGATGGGTTCCCACTCTCCTCCCCTTGCAGAATGTCTGAAGATTTGGCTTTGCAGACTCACTTGGGAGAGGAGAATGTAGCCATGGGGTTGGTTAGCACTTTGAAGGCTCTCCTTCCATCTTTTTTTAACTTTTTATTTTATTTTATTTTTATTACCTCATAACATAATACTGTATGTATATAGTTTTTTTATGTTTTTATACTTAATTTGTAAGTCTCCCAGAGTGGGCAGTTTTATATTTGAATGAATGAATGAATGAATGAATGAATGAATGAATGAATGAATGAATGAATGAATGAATGAATCCCTCCAAAGATGAAAATTGTCCTGAACTCCAACATCTTTTCTGGGTAATTTGAAATTGACAGACATACTTTTAAATCCTTCAGTTGCATCCACAATGTAATTTACTTTTTAACTATAGAGCTCATTATTATATATGATAAACAGAATGGAACTTATGGACTTAGTTGTTCCTGAAGGTTTTCTCTCAGAATAAATTTCAAATGTTTTTTTCTTCTTCGCCTATCACATATCAATAGCAATTAATCATGTCTCAGATTTAACAGAGATCTTGATGTTAGTTAAATATCAGTATCACAGTACTGCGGGAAACCAATGTTTACTTAATCTTAAGAAACAAATTTCCCAGAAGAGTACAAATGCCTGGATCTCCAAAATCTCTATTTAAATCCCCAAGTGATTAGTTTAGCTTAAATGAAATATATCGGAGGATTATTTAAGATGTCAGTGTTGTTCTTCTGCAGATCATTTGTAATAGTTAAGAATTTTATACCAAACAGATAGCATTTTCTTTTTTTCCTGTATGGTTCCTAAGATTCTTAATGCCTTCAGCATTCTTAATACATTCAGGAAATATATTTTATCAAAAATTTAGAATATGATTTGAAAAAGAAAGTCATGGAAGCCAAATGTATTGCAAGAGAAGCTTTTTATTTATTTTATCTTATTTTAATAGTTGGATTAAGCTTGATATGTACTGAAAGAGTTCAACTAAATAATACGCAAGTACCTCTTGCATTCATGTATTATATAATTTTGAATCATTTTCATTGCATGTTTCCACCCTTAACTATATATGATGAATTTTGCAGATGCTGAATGAAGAATTCAAAATTGCAAGGAAATCCCAGAGCCTGAAGGTAAGCAGTGATATTAATAATCAACAGTGCTCCATTTGGATGATTCTTTTGGGAGTGAAGTTGTATAAAATGTATTTCATTTAATCATTTAATTATTTCTTAGATATCCCTGCTATTTGTGGTAATGTCTATAAATGCCTACATATTCATGAGGTTTTGTTCAGTAGTTTCAATGGATGATTTGTTCAAAACCTAAGCTCACAACTCTTCCAGTCCTTCAGGCTGTGACATCTCTATCAAAAACCCCTCTATTGAAGAAAGATCTCCACCAGAAAGAGATTGTTCTCTTATCTATCCTTTCTCTAGTTATACTGGTCTCTTCTTCCCACAGAGGAGATAGCAAAGTCTTTCGAGGTTGGAAAATATTCTACTTTTCTTTTTTTCTATTCACACTATAATTTGGCAATAATTTGCTAATTTTCTCTTGGACAACAAATAAATATATACAACAAGCTAACAATAACTAGTACATGGATCTCATACAGTTAGCCTTCTGGCCACCATCTTACTATTTTTTTGTTTAACCAGATAGATTTAAAGAGATTAAATTTGTTGTGAATTTTTTTTTTCATATACGGGGGGGGGGGGGAAATCTGATGATTGATTTGGAAGAAAAACAAATAAAAATTAGACTCTGGTGAGAGTGTGTGTGAGAATTGGGTATGTATGTGAATTATAATATATAGATAGATTAAATATATTTGATATATTTTTTCTCTCAGATGGTTTGGAAAGTAGAGCCAAGAATCAAATTCTTCATTGGTTTGGGATACACAAAATTATTTCATAATTTCCCCTAATTTGTTTTTATTCTTTTGTTTCATGCGAAGAATTCACAGAAGTAATATTATTTTGTGGATTTTTGCTTGTTTGTTTTACAGTTGTCTGACCCAATGATCTTGAAGAACAGAGAAAATATCTCAGGAAATGCTGTCACTGAATTTGTTTTACTTGGCTTTTCTCATCTCCAGAAGATGCAGCTGCCTCTATTCTGCATTGTCCTGATTATGTATGTTTTAGCATTAATGGGCAATGCTCTGGTTGTCCTCATGATCCGCTTGGACTCCCGTCTTCACACCCCTATGTACTATTTCCTCAGCCACCTTTCCTGGTTGGAAATTATCATCACCACCACTGTCACACCGAAGATGCTCAGCATTCTCATTTCAGAGAAGAAGTCCATCTCCTTCTTTGCATGTGCCTTTCAAGTCACATTATACTTTCTTGCAGGAACCACAGAAGTCCTCCTACTGGGAGCAATGTCTGTGGATCGCTACCTAGCTATATGTAACCCATTGCGCTACACAGCCATCATGAGTAACCAAGTTTGTTTACTGATGGTGGTTTTCTGCTGGTTCATTAGTTTTGTTTGCATTACAATTGGGATAGTTTCCAAGTCAAAACTGCCTTTCTGCGGACCCAATATCATTGATCATTTCTTCTGTGACACAGGACCCCTGACAAAGTTGATCTGTGCAGATACCCACCTTGTTCAAGCTTTAGAATTTGCCTCATCGTGTTTTACCTTGCTTTCCTCTGTCTCCATCACTACCATCTCTTATGTCTGCATTATTGTCACAGTGATAAGGATGCCTTCTGCCCAAGGTAGGAATAAAGCATTTAGCACTTGCAGTTCGCATATCACCGTGGCCTCAATCTACTATGGTAGCTCCATATTCATCTATGTCAGGCCATCTGAAAACTCATCTATGGATTTCAATAAATTAGCCACAATGCTCAACACAGTAGTAACCCCCTTGCTCAATCCAATTATCTATAGCTTTAGAAATAAAGCAGTCAAAGAAGTTTTGAAAGATAGAGTGAAGCAGCTTGGTTCTATCATTGCAAAGGTAAGAGATTAAAATACAACATTTCTTCCTGAGCTTTCCACATTATATGGACATCTCTGAGTTTAACCTAGCTGCCTTTTTTCTCCAACTGAAATATAATTTAAAGCTTTCTGAAGAGTCAACAAGAGATTTAACTTTTCTGCAACCATTTTCCTAGCAGCTCCTAGCATTATAATATCAGAAACCTCTTCATGACAGAACATACATAGCCCTTCTCTTCTGATAGCACTGATGATGTTACCTAGTTTGGGTAATGAAATATTACCCACTATTGGTACCTTCCTCTTTTAATATGACCATGTAATGTTTCCCAACTCTTATTAACAATAAGATCTCATCATCCAGATAATTGTAGTTAAATAATTTGCTACATAGTGGCAAGGAAGAAATGAGGGGGAAATCATACTGATGCAGAAGTGCCTTTTAAAGGTAACTTAAGCTAATTCTCTTTGGCTAGATAGAACTCCATTCTTTTCATACGCTTTCACGTAAGTGGGACAGGCAGCCTAAACATTTAATAAATAGATAAAATAAATAATAAATAAATAAATTCATCTTAAAGGGAAAAAAGCTAATTAGTTAAAACTACACTGAAATGTATTGTCATGCAATGTTAACAGGAATAACTAATCTCTTAAAACAATTCAGCAATACTTCTGTTTACAGAATATACTCATTATTCAAACAAGCAGATATGTGGATGACCACTTTGTGGAGTCTATTTTGGAATTCTTCTGAGAGTTTCCTATGCTTTCATAAGTTGCTGACTGCAACTTATTGTTATTTTATCACAAGAATGTTCTTTATCTTTTTCCAAATCTTCTTTTTCTATATGTATTTTCTTCCTACTTATTATAGAAACAAATATCCTCCCTCTCTCAATGAGGAGCAGATATGAGATGAGATCACAAACATGTTTTCTTCAGATACTCTGTTACTTGTGATCAGAATACTGTGGGGAGCTCATTGAGAACTATATCATTATCTCAAGTGATGGTAATATTGTTTCTTGTTCAATGTTTGCATGAAGTTTTAGTGAACAGTTCCACAATCAAAAACAGAATAGATATATGTTAGAAAAGGGCATGACAGACAACTTGCCAAGGAAAAACACCAACACTTCATTTCATTTTTGTATTTGTTCCATGGATAGAAAGTAGGAAAATGAAAAATTGTTGACAACGGATTGGTATAAGAAAACTAACATTAGATATTAATGAAATAGAGTGGGACATTGAATTTTACTTTGGAGGAAACAGATTCATTTTTATATTTACAATGATCTTTTTGTTTCTATGTCTGCTGATGTTATGGCTGGTGTTTTTAACCCAAAGTGAATGTAAGATGCATCCCATTCTCTGCAACACAATTGATGCCCTCCAAATTCCACATGAATATTACCAGCCAGGTGACTTTGTCATTGGAGGGATCTCTTCTCAGTTTGTCTCCTTTTTCAAGGTTCTGTCTTTCCAGGAACACCCCAGATCAATGTTTATTGATGATCCTATGTAAGGAATTTCTTATTTCAATAAGATATCCAGGAGCACATTATTATAATTACTGAGAAGAGAAAGCAAATTTTCCTTTTTTTAATGGATGAGCAAAATAGAAAATTTCAATACGATTGTACTAAATATATGGTTACAGGTTTTCTAGAATATCATTTTCTCAATTTTGCATTTTGCCTTTCTTTTGTGAGAATTACACTCTATTAATCTGATCATCATATCATGATGTTTTCAGTATCTGTCAAGACTACTTTAACTTCTTTAAATCCCAGCTTCTGTATCATATGAGGCGCTTCCTTCAATTTTGGATGCAAAATGATTCATTTTTACTGCAGTTTCATCTTAATGACCATTGTATCTCTAAGAGCTTGGATTTCTCAGAATAAATGAAGATGTTTCATATTCTCTTTTTCTCACAGTCCTTCAGTTTCCATCCCTTTTACTGTGTTACTTCTTGTTTCAAACATGTATGAGATGACTATATTGATCAATAGCTATTAAAAGTTAAACACAAAGAATATGACAAAGCTCTACAAGTCAGCAAGGTGGGCTGTTCAAGTGTCAGATGTGGGCCAGGAAGACCATACTCAGATTCTGAAGTGCTTTTCTTAATGTTATGTTTGTCACTGGATTCTTATAGGGCTAGAAGAATATGGAAGGAAGAAAAATGAGAAAATGTTTCTCATAAATAAATCTTGGACCACATCTACTGTATATACCTTTCTCATTTTTACTCTTGTAAATATGGTCAGTTTGGTAATCACTTGTGTATTAGTGAACCAAATCATGATACTGAAAATGAACACATAATCATAATCCAAATCAAAGTTAAATGAAATTCATTGAAATCATTGAGGCCTAAGTCATAACTGCTATTAGAATAACTGGATCAAATCTAAAAGGACAATTTTTTTCACAGGACTCTGTAATTAATGATACTATAGTTTCCTCCTTTCAATTTTCAGGACAAAAACTTCAGGAAAAATAGCAATCCTGCAATAGTATTTTAAACATATTTTATTGGCTGGATTCATGCATCCCATTAAGCAGAAAAAAAGTTTTATCATTCTTTAGTGATAAGGCTGAGCCCAGCCAATTGCTGTTTTTCTAACTTATACATCATATTGTATTTTGCTGCTTCATAATTCTTTTCCCCTTTCAGACATATATTTTTTAAACCTAGAGGACAATTGGAAATTTGATTTCCTTTGACACACAATATTATCTTCACCTATAGAAAGATGAATCTGATCCACTTATTATAGGCAAACCACCAGAACTGCAAAGAAACTAATAAGAGAAGTCTCTTTCTCTCACTAGCCTAATCAAATAACTGGTGTGAATCTTTCATAAAAGGAGAAAAACTACTTTTCTGAGTCATTTATTGATCATTTCAAAGTTATATATACTTTATTTCTAATGAAGTATGTGGGTGATGCCACATCCTGAGTGCCATTCTGAGAAACCGATGTCTCTATAAGAAATATGTGCTTTTGATTACAAAGGTCTAGGATATTCTTGGATTGTACCAATGCTTTCATTACAGTGTAGTGATAAAGAACTACCAGCAAGTCTTGGCTTTCTTGTATGCTGTGAAGGAAATCAATGAGAATCCAGGGTTCTTGGTTAATATAACAGTGGGATTCCATATCTATGACAGCTACTTCAATGACAGGCTAACCTTTCAGACAACCATGAATCTCCTCTATAAATTGAAAACAACTGTTCCAAATTACAAGTGTGATTCAGGGAAGAATTTGATAGCTATCACTGGAGCACTTCATTCAGAAACTTCCCTTCATATGGCCACCATCTCAAGTATTTATAAAATTCCCCAGGTAGGAGAATTCATATATGTATAGTGACTTTTATAATTCTTGTAACATGTTCATATTAATGACAAGAGAGAAAATAAAAACTTGATAACAGAGAGGTTTCATCCAATATGCAGACTAGTAAATTTAGTGTCTTACATACTACTCATTTAAACATCCATGTTTGTTATTTAGAAATCAGCACCTCTTTGCTGTATAAATGATATTTATAAATTAATTATATACTTATAAAGTAACACATACATAGAAACATATATAGTTAAAAAGAAGAAAAAATATTGTATTGAACAGCATTATTCCTAGACTTTAATACATCTTATCAGTCCATGTATTACTGTTGGAGTTATATACAGATGTCCTGATCACGTGCTATTGTTTGGGTAGTTATATATAAGCTCTTTATATTGGAACCTTAGATTTAAGCTCTTAAATTTAGTCCATACTATGCTCTTGCAGCTTGATCATTCTGAAGTTACCAGAAGCCATTATGGCTGTCATCTTGAAGGTTTAACTGCTAACTGCTGGTTTGGAAAACAGGCTTCAAAAAAGATGCAACTGACTTAGAAGTTAAAATTATATTTCAATGATGAAAAATCACTTCTGTCTTTAATTCTAAGAAGTATCAAACTGTGTTCCTTTTGTGATATTAGAAATGCTAGTTACAATCATTTTTTTCATATGAGAAAATCTATTCAAAACACAATCTGGATTAAGAAAAAAACATTAATTTAGAAAAAAATGTTCTCAGAAAATCTTAGGACTAAAAAAATAATATATATTTGAAATAGTAGTTCTTACTATTGCTTTGTATCAAGAAGTCCTGACATTAAATTATTTAATTTTTCTCCAATCTAATCTTCTCCAATTATATTGACAATTGGCCTACTGGCAGTTGAATATGCCTGGCAAGGTTGATACATTTAATATTTAATTTTGCTATAATTATGAATATATTATATTCAAAAAATAGAAAACCCAACCATTATGGAGGGCGCTAACTTGGGAAGAAGGTTCATTATACCATGTCAGTAAGCACACATGTTTTCATTTTACATATGCCAAGAAAATTGTTTTCCTTAGGTCTCTTATTACTTGTTTGATCCTCTATTGACTACTAAAATACAATTCCCTTTCATTTACCGGGTGGTTCCCAATGAAAAGCATCAGTATAAGGGTATTGTCGAACTACTTAAACATTTCCAATGGAGATGGGTTGGGATCATTACACTGGATGATGACAAAGGAGAAAGTTTTGTTCGGACTTTAGTGCCAATGCTTTCCCAAAATGGTATTTGTTCTGCTTTCACTGACAGAATGCCCTCCATAACAAACTTCTTGGAAATCCATGACTCATATATGAAGATTGAAAAAAGACTCAATTTTTTTAGGATCAATGAAGCCAAGGCACTTGTGGTATATGCAGAAACTCATTCTGCACTGAGTTTGAAATTTTTGCTCACTCAAAATAATGACATAGCAGACACTTTAGACAGAATATGGGTTATGACAGCCCAATGGGACTTCCCAGCCTTACAGTTTCATAAGGATTGGAGTACAATGGTGTTCCAAGGGATGTTGTCCTTTGCAGTTCATTCCAGGGACGTGTTGGAATTCCAACATTTCCTTACAACCATAAAGCCTAACTTACTAAAGAAAGACAATTTTATTAATGATTTTTGGGAACAGGCTTTCAACTGTTTGTTTTCAAATTACTACACTGGTGAACAGCATACAGAGTTTTGCACTGGGAGAGAAAAATTGCAGAACCTTCCTGGACCTTTTTTTGAAATGAAGATGACTGCCCAAAGCTACAGTGTATATAATGCCGTCTGTGCTGTGGCACATGCATTAGATGCCATGCAATCACTGAATTCCCAGCACAGAATGATGACAGCACTTGGGACCCCACAACCTTGGCAGGTATTATTTTATATTCAAAGCAACTACATTACCATAAATAGGCAATTGAAAAGTAGCATTATGTAAAGTTCACATGACTATTGATCAGAATCACAAATAATTCTATCAATATCTTCTCAGATAATTTCCTCATAGAAAATTATGAGGCAGCAGTGTGCAGCAGAAGCAGCCAAAAAAGCTAATGAAATCCTTGGTTATATAAACAGAAACATAGAATCAAAATCACATGAAGTATTAGTACTGCTTTATAAATCCTTAAAAAGACCACACCTGGAATACTGCATCCAGCTTTGGTCACCATATTACAAAAAAGGTGTTGAGACTTTGGAAAAAGTGCAAAGAGCAACTAAAAAGCCGAGGTGGCGCAGCAGTTAGAGTGCAGTACTGCAGGCCACTTTAGCTGACTGTGTTCAGCAGGTCAGCGGTTCAAATCTCACCGGCTCAAGGTTGACTCAGCCTTCCATCCTTCCGGGGTAGGTAAAATGAGGACCCAGATTGTTGGGGGCAATGTAAATATATATATATATACATTGCTTACTGGTGTACACCGCTTAGAGAGTGCTTGCACTTAAAGCGGTATATAAGTCTCATAAATAAATAAATAAATAAATAAATAAATAAAATAAGATGATTAAGAGCCTTGGAGACAAAAACATATGAAGAATGGTTGCAGGAATTTTTTCCAGGCTAGAGAAGAGAAGGACTAGGAGTGACCTGATAGCATTATTCCAGTATCCAGGGGCTGCTACAAACTTATTTTCTAAAACACCAGAAGGCAACATAAGAAACAATGAATGAAAACTAATCAAAGAGCGAAGCAACCTGAAATTAAGGAGAAACTTCCTAACAGTGAGGACAATTAACCAGTGGAACAGCTTGCCTTCAGAAATTCTAGGTGCTTCATCACTGGAGGTTTTTAAGAAAAGACTAGACAACCATCTATCTGAAATGGGATAGGGTCTCCTGCTTGAGCAAGCGCTTGGATTACAAGACCTCGAAGATCCCTTCCAGCTCTCTTCTGATTCTGATTAGGTTGTCAGTGGTATTTCTCACATATTTCCAGTATGCCTGGAAGCTTTGTTTATATATATATTTGTTAGATTTATATTCTGCTTTTAATACAGAACTCAAGACTGTAAATACCTTCCCTCCTCCATTTTTTTCCCACAGCAGCAAACTAGATTGAATTAAAAGTCACTGAATGAGGTTCCATGGATGAGAGCAGACCAGGACTTGGATCCCCTTGTTGTCAGTCCAGTTGTCAGTTACTATTATACCACCCAGATTCTTTAGCAATATGTCTTTCTGAAATCAAGAGACTATATTTCTTTTCTTCATCACAAGTTGCAGCAATTTTTTTTAAAAAAAATATCATTTGTTTCAGATGTAATGCAAAATATCAGCATATTATATTTATGAAAATAGGACTGTGCATGGTAAATTTTTAATATTAGTTAGTTCCCTCATGTTTCCTTTATTGATAGACAGATATATCAGCATCACTTTTTACACTTCACATTATTTTTCCTCCAAAATTATTATCTTATTATTATATTGGTATTTCTTGCAGCTTTTGCACATCTGTGTCTATTATACTTGTTTCATTGTGTTCTATATACCTATATTTATTTGCTATTTGATTTTAATACACACTGAGGATTTTAGTGGATATCAATTCAATATTTATATGAAATAGCAATAATAAAGACACTTCACCATTCATTAAAACCTCATTTTGCCATCTTGGGTTTCAGCTTTACCCTTTCTTGAGGAGAATTTCATTTAACAACAGTGCTGGAGACCTAGTATCTTTGGATGAACGAGGTGAATTGGAAGGTGGATTTGATATTATTAATTGGATTACTTTCTCAAACAAATCATTCACCAGAGTGAAAGTAGGAAAGTTGAATCCACATGTCCTATCTACCATACAACTATACATTAATGATGGGAGCATCTTGTGGCATAGCAACTTTAATAAGGTAAAATCTTATTATAGACTGTTGAGATAGGAAGGTAAGGAAAATTTCCTTCTTTGGAAGAATATGTGCAAAATCTGGACTTTCCACATTCCACATTATAGGCAGCAGAATACATTAGAGACAGTAACACTATCTATATGATTGTCTATCTATGGTACTTTAATGTTTACTTCATGGAAAATACTAAAATAATACATCTGATAAATTTATATGAATATAAATTATGGGATAATTTAAGTGGAGTCCACCATAGCGTGGGAATAACATGAGAAATGGGATAATTTACAATATATATGACAGGAATTTGCATACAAAATCTCTATATTACAGAAATCTGTGAAAAATCTATGGATG